TCAGAATCCCTTATACAAGTGATTATGCCAGCTTGCCTGTTACTGATGTGCCTGAGGCAGATTGCTATGTTTTCAGAACCAACAAATATCAAAATACATGTAGAATTCAGCTGAATGTTAAAAACAAGGCAGTGGAGTCTGTTCACAGCTCTCAGCAATGGTTTCATAACAATTGAGACATTTTATTAAACCAATTTAAATCTCTGTTTATCACAGAATTTCTATTGATGTTTTCTCTCTGGATGGTCTATTTAAATCATTAAGTTATACAGTGAGGCTGGTTTAAGTCCTACTTTAGCACTCTCCTCCAGATTTTATCAATCTGATGTTTCTGGACCATGAAGGGAAGTGTAACACTATTTGCAAGGAGAATTTTGACACAGCAAAGCTGTGACTCCAATGATTATATCCTGTATACAAATGCAACCCTATCTAGTCAAGAATTGTGTCATTTTGAGAAATGGAACATGTAATGCTAAGTAATTATTTTTTCTGCCCTGCATTTGTGCTCTTGCATACTAATTATTCTCAAGTTTTACTTTATTTTTCAAAAACAGTCAAAATCCTGAATTAATACATATATTAATGCATACATAACACATATAACAATTTTTTGGCTGAGACTTGATGGGCTTTTTGGTGCAGCAATGATTGTAGAGAAATGCAGAGGTCATGTTGAAATTAATAATGAATGGCTCTCTCTTCATTAATCAATGTTCACATCTTCCTGACACTTCCTGTGAAATTGACTATTTATCAAAAGAAACTTTTACTTGCTAAATTTGTTCAGTGCCTATTTTTTCATCAAAACCTTACCTGGGGTCAAACAAAATGAAGAAGGCTGTAGTGGCCCCTAAAACACAATGGATCCCAGTTGCTGTTTTTGAGATGTTCTAGATCTCCTTTGTCCCCTAAGGAAACAGTTAACTGTCCCAAATATGTTTTAAAGAATCATTGGAACAGGACCTGGTTTGCTGATAAACTAAGAGTTGTTGTCACCAAGTCAGAGAAAACTGTTCTCTCTCAGTCTTTCTGAGTCAGGACACATTTCAGCATCTTACAGAAAATTACACAGTTTCTGAAGTGGTATCTTTACAGAGGTACAAGACAGCCCTACTCCAGTATTGTCATGATCCTGGGAGACAGATTTTTCAGGGTCAAATATAGAATAGTCTCCCATTTTTATTTGTATACTCCATTTTCTTTGTTTGCAAGCTCCCCAGCCACAGGATTACTACAATATACAACGGAATTCCCTAATCTGCAGTATTTATGGAAATTTGAGTTGAAGGTCATGTGATTGTACCTTGAACACTTAGTGACAACTTATGAGGGGGTCTTCTGAAAATTTTCTATTCCCATCCCTTTCACTTCAACCCCTCCTCACTGAAATGTAACCAGGTCATAGTAAACAAATGAATGTGCTGGTACCTTTATTGTTCCTCTAAAATAGGCAGCTCTGTAAGGGTCAGATGACCCTTGTGGAGCACAGTAAATGAACTCCACAATGTCAGATCAGGCCAAGCTAAACTGTAGCTGAACTGTCCTTTTGCTCTCAGAGTCTGCAGGCATGTTTATGAAACACAGGAAGAAGAAGCTTGTGTCTGAAGGAAAAAGCTTTAAAAGGACTAATGAAAGCATAATTAGATCCCAAATTTTGTCTCTTCTCAGCTGGTCATCCTGACCTTTAATTTTTTCCTAATTAACTGCTTAACTACTATAAGCTTTATTTACATAGATGATATTTACATAAATGTAAACAGTGCCTTAGGGTCCAGGATGTAGCAAATACTACATTTGTTAACTGGTTACACTTACCTTGCTCTTTCCATCTAGGAACTACCTTGTACAATCTGGGACATGTTTTACTCCAGTCTTTCTGTGTCTGAGCAGGACTTCAGGATGCATTAGTCATAAACACAATAGCCTGACAGGGCCTAATTGAGAAAGCTGCTGGTTCTTTGCAACAATATCAAGCTTTAGTCTGTTAATTCAATGTTCTCAAATATCTAAGACAAGTTGCTTTGCCTTAAACTTCCTTTTTGATCTTTTCACTGGCATATCCTTTTGCCTTACACTCTTTTCCAAATAATCTCAGCTTTTTCTTGACTTGAGTCCAAAATGTTCTGTTTGAACTCTCCCAGCAACAATTCCTCCTCTACACAATTTGGTGTTATCTGCTCAGTTTTTCTTGTTTTCTTTGACATTCAGCAATCAGCAGGCCTGGCCTGTGATCAAATAAGTGCTAGAGCTGAGTCCCCCTGCGCACATGCAGTGGCTGCTGACATCACAGGGTCAACTGCAGGATACACTTTCCTGGAGCTTTTGCTATAGCGTATCAAATGGGCTGTTAATGGCACTTGTCCTGAGACCTTATACCCATTCTTGTTCTAGTAAACTTTCATACCATCCAGAAAAATTCTACAGGCTGAAATGGCTGGAGAAAGAAAATATTTACCAGTGAAAGATTTTCTAAGTATTTATTTGGAAAAATATTATACCATTGCCAAAGATTTTCATTCACTGGTTTCTTCATAGTGAGGATTTTACTTCTGTCTGTTGATAGCAAGTCAGACTCCAAGTAGTTTTTATGCAATGCAGGGTCTCAATGCCTTATCCTCCACACCTGCAAACACCTGTGCATAGGATTCACCATGGAAATCTCTTGCTCGCATTTCCTCTTAAGACTATCTTGTCCCATTCCAATTTTAAACATTCAAGAATCAGGAAGTATGATCAGTTCCAGATAGGAACAACTTGAATCTCTAAGTTATTTAAGGTCTTGCTCCTCTATATATACAAATCTAATAGCACACTGTGGTCAGTTTAGGAATGTTCAGGGAACCATCCAACCCAAACAGTCTGAGAGCTTAAAAACTTGTGAGCTAATGTTTTTCTCCTTTGTTTGTCAGGAAATTAGGCTTATTTATATAATTTAAATTCAGGCATGATCAGCCTAGATACATAAAGAATTAGATCTGATATCCTAGTGGAACCAAAACAAATTACTTCTGGGAAAATTAATTCATGGCCATTTTATTTCCCAAATCATACCACTATAACTAGTTTTTTGCTTTACATACACAATAACTCCTCCTGGAGTTGCTTCCATGACTGCTCTATCATAAAAAATCAAGCTCTTAGGAAAGATAAGATGACAAATTAGAGCAGCAAATACTGAGTGTTAGAACAACAAGGAAGATGTGTCAGTACAGGACAAGAAGGGAATAGAATGGAGAGAGATGAGTTGTTAAAACTTCTGCAAGGGAAGTGGGGGAAAAAATAGAATTAATACCAAGCCTGAAAGAGGAGTCAAAAGAGATGGGGAAAAAACAAAAAAAGGAAGGTGGCTTATTCTTGTTGTACAAAGAAATATGCTCAAGGTTTGGGGAGGAAGGAATAATCAAGGATAGAAAGCTATACAATTATGAGTTATTGTCTGGAATTTCATCTGAGGCTTTGTGACTTCAGTTTCACTGTTAATAATTTAAGTTAATAGACCCACCCGCTATTCTGATAGAAAAATGGCCCCTTGGTTTATACTGGACTGTTTATTCTATATTTAATACTCCCTGTAGGTGATGGAACACTTGAGACTGCTGACTCTCACCACAGCCATCTGACATTCAGTATTAACGAGTCAATAAATATGCCCCCTATGTTATGTGCAAAGGCCCAAGATGTTCTTCTGTCTTTGATTTTTCCTATTCATTAAAAATACACAGCCTTTCAAAGAATTCCCTGTCAAACAGAGATAATGGAGATCTCATTGGCCATTGCCTTGTACATGCTGATATATCCTCTAAACAAAAGTGTCAGAATGTTGACACAGGAGGAATCTGGCCAGCTGGAGGGCTTTAGCGAATAATAAAATATAAAATTAAAGCATTTGTAACGGTTGTGTTTAATATAAAAAATCTGCAAAAGTTAATGACTGGATGGGTAATTTAAAACAAAAGCCCCAGCAGGCAGAGAAATACAACTACAAGCTAGCAAGGGGAATTCTTGATCCAGCTCTCTGGAGAGCATAGTTGGAACATGGCATGTATTTTTGCAATACAAAGCAATTACAGACATCTCCAAACAATAAAAAAACATAACATGTTCTGGTGTTCTGATTATTTTTTTTCATTAGATAAGGTTGAGAAGTTACAGGATCCCATTTCATGCTGACAGCTCTCCACATCTGATAGGAACACTAGGAGATAAAAATGCTTAAGTAATCGAATGCTGTGCATATTTTTAAATGCACTCAATATGTTTAGTACGGCATCGTGAAAATAAATATGTGAACATGTAAAAATTTAGAGCTGTATTTGTCCCTTAAAAAAATCAAAATCAGTGCCTGTGGACATGCTGAAACAACACAAAGTATAGCCAGTACAAGATGTGAAACATCACAAAATCAAATCTAGCCTGTAATAAGTCATCTAAATTGACATTTGCAGCCTCCTGTTGATGGTGACCATATCACCCACTGTGGGAAAATCATTCATCTTGTCTCTGCAATGTGATGGAAACTTTCGGTACTCAGAAGTAAAAGGGATTTTCAGTTATTTTGAAAACCAGGATGTTCTACCTGCAGATTTACTCTACATAGACAAATCAACAGCAAACATGGTTGTGTAAAGTTTCTTCTGATTCCAGTTAATCAAGATGGGTTTAGCTGTTCCTAATAAGAAATGTTAAACATAAATTTAAAAATATAAAAACTTCACATTGTAATTAAGAGAAAAATAAAGAAGCTTTCCTTGCTTTATATGTGGCTTTGGACAACATTATAAACTGAATGACAATTATCTGAAAAAGTTATTCCTTAAAATAGCACATTAACTAGCTTGAAAAAATCTGTTTATATATCTCAAAGTGTGTATCCATTAGAAATCTTAATTCAATAAAGCTGCATATGATAGGATTTTTGTGCTATTAAGACTAAGTTTGGTGATATTTAATATTCTGATCAATGATCTGGAAGTAAATATAAAATTGCAGTTGATAAAATGTGTGGAATCCATGAAGAGTGCCAGACTGGAAGTCTGAGGGATGAGCTGGAGAAGGTAATGCCACAGATATGAAAGCACATTCTGCCCTCCTTGCATCACCTTAGAGTGAGAGAATGTATATCGGTAAGCCTATTTATCAAGAAAAAAAGAACCAAACCCAACAACTGAAGAGCTGTCATCTTCAGAAAAAGAAAAAAGACGAATTCTGTTTAACAAGAACAACATGGACAATGGCTGTAGCTGAAGGAAGACAAATTTAAACTGGAGATAGAGCACAGATTTTTAATTGTCTTCACCATTAAAGGAATAGATGACTCAATTATAAAACATACTTCAAAATACTAATGAGTTTATTATTCTTCACTATATTAGGAAGGCAACAATATTGTCCCATTTGAGTTCTTAAACAGCCTTTTTATAAGTTAGAATGCTGGCCAGCAATTAAAGAGATATCATAGTAGGGAAGGAAATCTTTAAAAATGCTTCTCGTTTTCCATTATACCTACAAGGTTGTTAAGTACCTTTGACCAAAGGAAGTCTTCCATGACTCAGCAAACATGAGCACAACTGTGAGTTGAAAATGGCTAGGATTTTGAAAGTTCATGTGCATTAATTGTATCAGATAAGACAAAAGAGATAATGACCTGTGATGCAGAAAAATGTTATCAGGAACTTCTTACTGACATATAAAGTGTAAAGTAATTTCAGGCAATTCTGGTTAAATAACAATATACAAAGTAATTTGCAGTCAGTTGTTTCCTGGCCTCTCTCCCCAGTTCAGTATTCAAGAAAAGTTCCCATGATTTCTGGGGAAGCAGCTAGCTGGGATTGTTTTAAGTCTTATCTGCAGATAAGAAGAATTTGCTTCTTTAAATCCTGTACTTGAGAAAACTGTTCATTATTGAGCATAAAGTATGAGCTGGAGTGTTTGTATCTGAGGAAACAAAAAAGTTTTCAAATAAAGAAATATTATTTAAAGGTTATCTATAGTATAAGTTGTTAGGTATCATGAATTACAAACTTAAAAATAATTTCTTAAAATTGACAAAATAGGTACTGGTTTTAAAACTTTGCTTTAATATATTTTAAAATTGCACAATATAGTCTCATGTGAAATCATATTGTCTGCATTTTCCAGCTTTTAATCAGTAACACCCTGCTGTTACTGTTGGCCTCTTTTGTGGAGGAGATCAAACTGGGATTCTCTCCAGAAATGTAACTCCTTAACCTTTACAGAATTCCTTAACTGGCTAGAGGGCAGTTTGTCCTGTTCTCCCTTTACAGAGCTGAAAGAGCTGCCTCTGCTGCCCTGCAGAATGATGAGAGCAATCAGGCCACATCCAACCTCAAAAGAATTCTGGAAAGTAACTTGTTAGTAACTTTACGTTCTGGTTTGGGGGTGCAAAAGAATGTCCTGGACTCGCCCTCTCAATGCATTCCTCAGTATTTAGCATGAAGTCAGAGAGATTCTTCTTGAGAGCCCGATCTTCTAGTCAGATGCTGAACTACTCTTTAAAAATCTGCATACACTCCATTTTATTTATTATTGAACTGATGCAATATAAATGACAAAGTTTTATTTCTTTTTTCATGAAAGGCCTTAAAGCTGAGAATCCAAATCTCTAAGTAAAATAATGTGGTTTTAGTTACTTGATCAGCTGCTGTTTTCAGAGCTCTTTAACTATTCCTCTCTGTTCTGAACATCCATTTTCAGTGACATGAAGAAGAAAACTGGATGCTTTAACCAGTAAATATCCAAAGATTTGCATAGCACCACAAGGTACTTATCAAAAGAGGCGCCAGAGCTAGTAAGATCCATGAGCTTGAAATTGCTTGTGTATTAAATTATTTTTAAAAGCATTTTTAAAATACTGCCTACATGTAACACGTGCAGAAATATTCTAAATGTTTCAAACAACACTTCAGAAAAAAAAGAGGAGTATTTTAGAGTTCACTATGAGATGGAAACTAGTGCATAATCTAAACAATATGATTGCACCTTGCCCTTCCAGCGATCTCCAGTAAATCTATAGCCTGACCTCATCAATTACCAATAAGAAAACTTAAAGCTAAGCTACAATGTGATTTTATGGCATACCTTGTCACTGATTTATGACAATAATGAAGGTCTGTTATGCATCTTGACATAACTGGGCATTAATAAAAGCAGACTTGCATTAGCTCTGTCTTTATAGATGTTTCTGGAATGTATCGGTATTATTTTGGCATGCTGGTTTAAATTGGAGAGATGTGCTCTGCTGTACTGCAGTTGAATTTATTCTTCCTATAAACCACTTGTGCTTAAGAGAGCTCCAACTAAACATAAGTTGCAGTGCCTTGTGCAGCAGGTACCAGATATTACAAAGAGTTTTAAGCTAGTCTGTGTTCTAAATTAACAGAATATTTCCTTTTTCCCTGTATATATCATGGTAATCTCCTTCAACACCACCTGGAGTTTTCATATTGCTTTCCTGACTGGCAATAGGCTGATCTGGTTTCTCTTCTTAATAATCTTCCTGATGAATCCCAGTCTTCTTTCTCAATCAACTACTGAATATTAACAGGCAGTCACACAGTTGTTCTACACATATTAAAGATGTACACATAATTTACATATTAAAACACCTGAGATTCTCCCGAGAAGGAAATAAGGCTTTATCTTGCTAATTTAAAAATGTAATTACATCTACATAAAGTACACTGTGACTTTAATGTTGAACTCAATGTACATGTTTTCCTGTTGAAGTCAAAGTAATCAGGTTAGACAGCAGCAAGAGTCAATAAAAAGTCCTTTAATGCATTTTGGCCAAGTTCTGGTTGTGCATCTAACTCTTCAACCTGGCTACAAACACTTACCCCATGTTTTACCTGTTCTGTGCCAGGAATATGCTGGAAACCTTGCCACAGTGTATGCCAGGGAGAGTAGATAGTAGATATTAAAGTTTATGTTGTTTGGAACCTGAAAGCTGCAAAGCTGCAGGTCAATGTGGCACATTCACCACTAAAGAACCAAAAATAATTTTCTGAGTAGCCATAGGAAAAAAAAGGATTCTGTGATTGGCCACTACTTGGAATGGATGACAAGTAAGCACAATGAACTGCCCAAGTTCTTAACTACAGCTCATTATGAACAGAAGAAATATTTGAGAGGTAAAGAAGCCTAGATTTAAAGATAAATATAATGACAAAACACAAGGTATTTCCAGTGCAGAAGGTGCAGATACTGTGCATGAGTTCCTGAAGGTCTCTCATTTAGTAACTTCCATCTCATCAGAGATGGGTTTTAGCTGACCTGCCAGCACCTAAATTCCCTGTCATAACAGCTGCTACCAAACAGCAGAACCCATGGGATTTGACACTGAACAGAAACATTTTCAAATCTTACAGTGCAATTGTTCCAGTGAAAACTAGAGCTAGTGGCCACCACAGCAGTTTTTCATAACAAGAAAGAGAAAGCAATTCACAAAAGCCTGAACTGCCAAGTATGAATCTGATGCTGCTCTGCTAGAAAACACTACAGGAATTCTGGTCCTCATTTTGTAATCTTCCACTGCAGATTTTCTGTGATTTCCAAACATTTCTATGTGACCTCAAGCCTCGCAGATTTTTATTGACAACTTGTGAAGAATGCAATAAGATGTCTGTTATTTTTGTAGGCCCCAGGGCTTATGACAGGTAGAGAGAGCTTATTTGATGTTCTCCCTTAATGAAAGTTTGTTCTTTTTTCCTATATACTATAACCATGTCACAAGTGTTCTCAGAGCTGATCACATTTCTCTTCTTGTTTATCTTTAATTATCAGCTGTTTTGAAAGTGAACTTGAAACACTAATACAGAGATGAAAAAATTAATTTCCCTTTCTTTTTCCCTACAAAACATACCTTTTTGAAATTGTATATAATATTGTATATTGTAGGCGAAGTACAAAATTCAGGTCCTCAAATAATATCTTTTCTATTTGTAAAAGCATGATTTTAGTCACCATTACTTTTATCTGCAAGTCATATGCTACATTCTACACTGGATTGTGCACAAAAGCTTTAATCAAAAGAGAGGTGCTGTCTGCTTGTTCTCCTATTGCACAACTTCCTAGGATCCCTCCCTAGGAAGGAATTTCATTCTCAATCTCTTCATTCTCTAATGGGAATATGCCTTTGCTGAGACAGATCTAAAGTCATGGGAGACAAATTTCATTGGAGTTACTTCGTTTTCTGATATTCCTGATAATGATATCTGTGTCTGTATGTATCTAGTTCTCCACTTCCTGTGATTTTTCCAAAATAGAAAACTCAGTTAGAAAAATGAGTAATGTATTTTTCTTGATATGAAATCTACAACATTCCTGAGAACAGTTCAGTTGTGACAGACACTGTTAAACAGCTACATGGGCTGGGTAAGTTACCAATATGCAAAATAACTGAAGAAAAACATCCAGGCTTTATCAATTTTGGTTAACCACTAAAGCCTGTGACAGTGCACAGCTCTGTGCAGGCTTGCCAAGCTGTCAGGAATCAGGGAAGCAGGAGGAGGTGGCCTTTCCTTGCATCACTTTGCATCACTCCTTCACCTCCGACACTGTGGCACCATTTGCACTTTCCAAAAACCAACCAACCAAACAAAAACTAAACTAACAAAAACCACAAACAAACAAAAACAAAACCAAAAAAAGAACTCAAAACAAAACAAATACAAACCTCTTTGAAGTCTGACACATGCAGACACAAAAACAGACTAAGAGATAAGGGAGGGTAAGCAACTTGTCTCCTCAAAGGAAGACATTCCTCCTGTGCATCCTATATGAGCAATTCTGTCTCAAGAACTCTCTGCGTCCTTGGAATTCTTCCTGCACTGTTATTTCCGAGAAGAACAATCAGTGACATTTTACAGGGGACAGAAGCTTCTGAAAAGCCTGAATATTTGGCAGCAGGATCAAAGAACAGTCTTGCAAATTCTACTCCCATCACTGACTTCCAAACTACTCCTAAAATCCCCCATTTGTGTATATACATTCTGTCTGTACTTTTATTCTCACTTTATAAAAACACATGCACCAT